GTTATAAAGCTACCAAAGCCTGAGTGCCGCCAACTGTGCCAAGAAGCTACCTTACCCTTCCTAGGGCTCATGGACTCCTCCCTCCGGCCAACCCGTGCTAACCAGGTACCTGAAGCTTTCCGTTCTTCTTGGCGGCCTTCGGCTCCACAGGCAATTCCTGAAATAAGGCTTCTACAGACTGTGAAAACCATGAATCACCGCTACAAAGTGTAAGTTCACTGAGGAGACAGAATATCTCTGAAATCATCCCTGAGGTCAAACCCAAACAAAAGTATATACAGCCCGTGTGCGTTCCAGTTGGGAATGTCACTGGTTTGGATCTACAAAGGCCTGTTTGCGCATGTCTGTGCCAATCAGAAGGTACCTTGGGCTTCTTGCCAATCTTGTCATCCTTCAGCTCCATAGGTTCTTCCTGAGGTCTGGTCTCTACAAAAAGTGAAGTCCATGGACACCCTCTACAAAGCGCAAGCTCATGGACAAAATGGACCTTCTAACCCGTTCTCTGAAACCCTGTCTGCGGCCAATCCTAAACAGTAAACACGGACATAGTTGCGTTACAGTTGGGTTTGTGTGTGGTTGGATCACTGTTATAAAGCTACCAAAGCCTGAGTGCCGCCAACTGTGCCAAGAAGCCCTTCCTAGGGCTCATGGACTCCTCCCTCCGGCCAACCCGTGCTAACCAGGTACCTGAAGCTTTCCGTTCTTCTTGGCGGCCTTCGGCTCCACAGGCAATTCCTGACATAAGGATTCTACAGACTGTGAAAACCATGAATCACCGCTACAAAGTGTAAGTTCACTGAAGAGACAGAATATCTCTGAATTCATCCCTGAGGTCAAACCCAAACAAAAGTATATACAGCCCGTGTGCGTTCCAGTTGGGAATGTCACTGGTTTGGATCTACAAAGGCCTGTTTGCGCATGTCTGTGCTAACCAGGTACCTCCGAATCTTTGACCTTCTTCGCTTTCTTCGCATCCGGGACGAGCTCCTGAGACAAGGCTTCTACAGACTGTGAAAACCATACCTAAACAATACAAAGTGTACGTAGTCTACAAAGGATTCAACCCCATGGATTCAAAACCCTGTACTTGGATTAGATTCCTAGGAGGCAACCTGTCTCTGGTCTATGGAGCTGTAACATGGCTGCATGATGTTGCATGACCTTGGATGCCTGACCCATGTCGAAAACGGTCACGTACAGATCGAAACCAGATACCTCAGACTTTTCGTGCTTCTTGGTCTTCTTCGGCTGTAAATCAAGTTCCTGAGACAAGGATTCTACAGACTGTGAGAGCCATGAAGCACTACTACAAAGTGCAATTGACCTGCAAAAGTTTTAAGCCCTTAGACTGCATACACCGTACCTGCACTACATTTTCCCACAGGGGACATCCTCTCTCGGCCAATCTTGAACACAACGTCACCAAAAGTATCCAAAAGTAACCGATTGAGCCACAGAAGATCACAGAAGCATGTCATGTGCCAACCAGGCACCTCAGACTTGTTGTTGTTCTTCTTTGCCTTCTTCGGCTCTGGGGCAAGATCCTCAGAAAGGCTTCTACAAACTGTGAAAACCAATCACAACCACTACAAAGTGTAAGCTCTTTGGTCTTTGGTAAGGTCTTAGGCTCTCTACATCCTCTTAGACTATAATTTTTGCAGGGAACGCTCTGGAATCCTGTTTCTGTTGAGAACAAAAGCGAGAGAAGTGACACTCCTTTTTTCTGCCATCCGAACCTCGGCATGTTGTATATATGTCCACACATCTAGGGCTTTCTACTGTCGCTGGCATTCCAATGTCTGGCCGAGTCAAACTGACACCCCGTTGTCAGCCTCAAGGGCAACCAGCGCTGCGTGTTCTCATCGCAGCTGTAAACATTGTCGGACACATGCACGCTTGGATGTGACTTTGACTTTCTTGAATCTGGTTCCACCAGGGCTATCGATCTCCCATGAGTCTGATTCCGGGGAGTCAAGCAACGACGATCTCTCTCCAGGTGCATGCACACCTTCGTCACCAGCATCCTCCTCATTGTCACCGTCTGTGTCTTCATGCACTGTCCTGTTCCTGAGCATGGATTGCCTGGGGGTGATGCTCCTAGGTGGCATCGCAGCTGCAGTGACTTCCTCCGCTGTCCAGTTCCGTGCGGTGGGGCGGTGGGGCGGTGGCTGTGGCTGTGGCTTTTTGTTCGCCGCATTTGCCACAGGCCACGATAGATAAGAGGCAGCTGCTACTCCCAAGAGAAAGCAGACAGCGCAAAGACCAAACCATACGACAAATGGAATTTCCATGGCTTGATGGCGAATGCCACTTGCCAGCACAGCACTCAGATTAGCCAAAACAACTGAAGATGCCGGCACTGTCTGACACGCTCAAAACTGAACATACATATTCCAAGCGTTCATACCCGCGCTTGTCTGCATATAGTTCTACAAAGTGCAGCACACTAACCTTGCTTACTACAAAATCAAGCTACACGCAACCTCATTAACTCGCTGTTCTCTGCCCAAACCCGTTTCATTGCTCCACATCTCTCCGGCTGCGCCCCTAAAACTTGTCCAGCCACAGGCCCATGTCGCTGAATCCCGGACCAGGCGCGTGACTCTTTTGATTGTCTTTATGCTTTATCTCCTTCAACGCAGTCGCCTCAGATTTGGTTTTTCTACAAATTGCTGCAATCCACAAGTTATCTACTACAAAATGCTCTACCACTACCTGAGGCCTTCTTTGTTGGTTCTATATGGTTCTATTATCTTTGGGCTGCTGCCGTTCGAGCCCTGCTATCTATCAGAAAACTGGTCGTTCAGAATCTTTAGCTGCTATCTGGATGCCTGACCAGGTACATCGGCATGTTTCTCTTTGTGTTTCTTCTGCTTCTCCTCAGATGCGGTTCTACAAATTGCTGCAATCCCCAGTTATCTACTACAAAATGTTCTCCCACTGCCTTAGGCCCTCTTAATCCTCTTATAGGTTCTGTTATTTTCTGGCTGCTGTAGCTTTAGTTGCGCTCCCAGAAACATAGAGCATGCTATAGCTACGATGCCTGACGAGGCACATCGGCGTGTTTGTCTTTGTGTTTCTTCTCCTTCTCCGCCTTCTCCTCAGATGCGGGTCT